GAACCTCCTCAGTGATGTGTCACAGCGGGGGGCTGCAATATTGCCCATAGACGCTTTAACTGCATGGCGTCAATGAAGGTAATTTTTGTGAAGTAAGTCCAAGACCGCGCACTCTTGCATTTTCATATCCACTCTATATCATGTTTGCCGGGGCAAGGTGATGATGCACTTTTGTTAATGTCTTCTTATCTCTTCTCGCATTTTTTATATTCTTTGTAGACGGAATACTCTGATTGTGGCAACAAAAAACTACCCAAGCGGACTGCAACCGAATTGAGAGTGCAGCATGAAATTGACTCGGCTCAGGAAACAGATTATGCGCAGCCATGGTATCGTAAAAGCAGTATTAGCAGCTAGACCTAACCATATGTTGACAAATCGCGTGTTATAATGTCAATTTGCTTCAGAATAGGCAAAGGTGTCATACTATAGTATTGGAATAATGATACTTTGCGGTATGACAACCTTGTTGCACGGTATTTCCAAAAAGGAGCACACCAAGCTTGTTTTTCTTTATCACCACGTTGTCTCGCTGTTCGATATAACAATGGCTCCATGTATTACACCAAGAGACCGTATTGTTCTCTACGGTGTCAACACTATAAGTTCTGGTTGTTATCGTAATTTTGCGAGAAAATGACTGAATGCATGGTGCGGAAACGATATGATGTTTGTCTTTATAACACTTAGCCGTTAGGCAGCAGTGTACACATAGTTTTGAACAAGCCGAGAACTCATCTGCGTCATCGATATTGAATAACATGCCGGTGCAGTCGTCAGCAAACGCTGCTAAGGAATATGGAGTGTGTCTGCGTCGCCGACAGGAACGCGTATTGAAGATAACTTTGCGCGAGAAAAGCTCATAATTGGCTCTATGAAAACAACAAAGAGACCACATCTCCTTGTCTTACACTTGCGCTCAGTAAAAGGGGTCACCACAGCATCCACCCACCAAAAGACTTCCAAATGATTATTTTAGAAAGACTTCACCCATGCACAAAACGTCGCACGAAATTTAAATTGTTGAAGCAGGCCAATGGACACTATCAAATGCTGTAGTGGAATCAAAGAGTACCACACACATTTGTATATAATTTTTCGCAAAATTCTTCCAAATCTCAAAGAGAAAAAATGAGTGACGGATAAAGCGGAGCCACTTTGGTATTCGTGGGTAAGAGACTGGAGAAGTTGACCCAAGCGCCACTGTAATACCCTTGGTATTTGTTTCGCGTCGTAATTGAGAAGGATAGGCTGTCTATAAGTGTCGAGTATAGTGCGGTCACTAGATTTGCATTGTAGAGACAGGTGATCCTTCCGCGGAACTTGTTCATTTTCCCGTTATCCAACTAATACTTCATAAATGCGTGTCTACATATTCGTGCTAATCATGTAATACGAAACATTAACTCATCTGGTCCTGAGAGTTTACAGATTTTTGATGCCACAATTGCCCAGTATAGGACGTCTAGCATAGCTTGTTGCTCCACTAACAACCAGAACTTTGTATCTTGTAGCAATGTAGCTATCGAAGTGGCTGAAAAGTTGGACACCGTTTAAGACGTGGATTGAAAGACCCTGCCCCTCTATTCCCGGTGTCAGCAGCAATTGCCGGATGATCATCTGTGAATAAGCCATCTCCGTTCGTTAGCTCCGTGATTGGCGGTCGAAGGCAATCTGACTATGGCGCTTCGCTCAATTGAAAGTGGGTCTGCAGCAGACTTTTTGTTCTCGTTCTGCGCTATTTTAAATTAACTGGATGGGACTTGGAATCCACCTTGACTTGTTTTGACGCATTTTTGTCCATTTATGTACGAACGACATTGATGAAGTCTGCAGCTGTGTTGACTGCGTATATATTTGCTGCCATCGTCCGTTCGTCTGCTTGTCGACGTTCCTTAGAATGTCGACATAAATATGCAGTCTGCCCGGTTATGCTCATCAATAAGCATCCGAATTTTGCACTTGGGCTAACCTTGATGCGGTTATAAGTTGAGGTTGTTCAATACCGTTGCACTTTTCTTCCTCAAAAGTCAAGTTGGGCATCTCCAGAATTGACGTCCCTCCGTTAGACAAGCTTTGATACTTCAACTGGCATCCCATCTTTCAATATGCCACTTGCAATCACGAACATGTGCTTCAGACACCAGATCGTAACAAAACAATACTTTAATCGATTTTAACGATGAGGACTGGTACAGTCCGTATGCTTGGGTCCATGAAGCGCCAGGTGTCAATTGAACCCAGCACACCAAGCCTATCTTGTAGTTCGCCTCGATCTTATCTCAAATGATGCCGATCCATCGCTGATCGATCCGGGTAACTATCCAAAAAAAATGCTGAAGTCGCCTATTAAAATGTTTCTGATATTGTTAACTGTTTCCACTTCACGGCCCATTGCCACGAAGAGAAGAAAGAGCTCGATAGAAATCTTCACAAAACATGGATTAATCAGGTGCATACGATACGTGAAAGCGCGCAAGTTAACATCCGCGAGCTGTCTGAAGTAGTAAGTAAGATATGCGCAGTTCACGTAGACGCTAACCGTGCGAACAACAACCTCATCTACTGATGGAGAAGAAACACAAGCCCCACACAATGGCGTCCGTTGAATGTTTGTGACGTGAATTCAGACCAAATGTATCGAGCTCCAAAGTCCGCTTCGTAAATGAAGCACTCGTAGTTTGCATGAAATCTTCTTTAGTGAATTTTGTCTCTCGAAACGCAACCAAATAGTACATTGAAAGAAGTTGCTCATACATAGCGAGTGAAGATATGTTCATCCCATTCATGTTGAGCGGAATTATTTGTAAGGCTGGAGCCTCTTTTTAACTGGCGATATTAAAGGCATTTTTTACGGACGAAGAGGTACGATATTCAGCTTTTTCAGCGCATTAAGTGATTTATTATTGATGATCATTCCACCGCAGCTTCCACAACAACTAGCTCCAAATAGGATTCGACGTGCTCAATTTCTGTTCTGGAGCAATCTTATTTCGCTGTGAATTGCACGTACAGATGTTGCCGAACATATACGTCTCCACGTGTATTCACGACGGCGCTTAAGGAATTTATCAATCTGGAGTAATCTACAATGGTTGAACCGCGCTAACATCTTTGATACGCTCCCATTGATACTAGGCAATTTGTTTCCAGAACTAGAGCATAAGCGGGACAAGAAACCTATCAGTTGTCATGTCGAAACCGGTATTACACAAATAGTGCGACAGATAGCATGATCTGTTGCTGCCGTCGGGGTTAAATCCTAAACAGCTGACGTCGGACTTAGATAGTCGCCACATTTATCGCGACGTGAAGACAAGTACATCCGTCGCTATGAAATAATGCTGTCGAATTCCGTTGTGGTAACTTGCTCCACTTTGAGCGGCATCCTGCATGCTTAATTGAGTGCGCGAATTAAACACCCGGAAACCGGAGTCTTGCCGCTATAAAACAGTTTTTTACATTCTTATGGTTCGCCCATACACATATCATCATTCGGTGGAAATGAGGTATCATGACCGTCCGCAACTAAACCTTAATAGTAGCTGTGGCATACCGGTGATGAGAAGCTCAAAGTAGATGGGTCTTGGCTGTCAATAGCTAGGTCAGATAGAACAGGTGTCCCTGGCAATATAAATTTTGTCCCAGTGTGGTTTCGTATGCCATATTGTGAGTGCTGTACCACCTTTCATTCAGGTGCATCAACCAACAGCCATCGTACCAGAAATTTGTGTATGAGTCCGTGATCTGGACGACGACCGCAGTGAGCTGGTGTAATTACACCATCAACTGGTGTAAGTGCGTGGCTTGTCAGACGGCAAAGGAACCTCTGAATCCTGAACCCATCTCTGGTGTAACAGTGACAGACGAATGCTTCAGTGTCGCAGAGGATATGCGTCGGCAAGATCGATTTCATTCATCGAAAGAGATTCAATGATGGAAGGAACGGTAGACCAAGGCAGTGCATGTGCAGTTGCGGTATAGAAGCGAATGGTGGGAGATGAAAGCCGAATCTGCACAACGCTAACAATAATGAGTATCTCTTCAATTAGCAGTACAGTGTAAGTTTCAGCCTTGTACCGGTAGATTTCTTTGTCCACGAACGCATCACTCTCTATTATTCTCTTTCCTGTCTCCATCATGTGCTTCACTGTAAGTAATAGCAGCAGGTCAGAGCATTTCATAATGAAGTTGCTGCTATGCATACTACATACAAAGTTCGCAATGCGCCGGCGTGAGTTCGCTAACGTAAGAAATATGATTATGTGAAATCACCAGTACGTGCTTCTTGGCGCGTGTAATACAATCTAATGTCGCAATGTCCTTAGCATCCTATTGCAGCGACGCAATACTTGTGATTCGGGTTGTACAAGTCGTAACTTCATCATTTACCCCGTACACAATCGGATGCTTTTCACGAAGCGAATTGGAACAGAACACACAAGCTAAGCTATCAATCTTGTCTGTCATAAAATTTGTTTTGGTCATTAAAACACCAAAACAATCTCAAACGTCACTCCCGTACTGCCACTACTTCATTGTTCCGAATAGCAAAAAACGGTTTGTCAAAGTTTGAAAACAGTAAAAATGTACATTTCAACTGACGTTTTTGGTCCAGCGAGCGGCCCAGTAAGCTGTGCAACTGTTCGTCGTGTGTTGCTCTGTCTGAGAAGCATATGCGCTTCTCTTTAATCCCGTCGATTCGTTGCATGTATGTGAAGCCAGTGCGAGAGCCAAGAATCAAGAATTAGATGAAGAAGTTGCTAACGCAACTTTTTTAGAGCAAGCTGGCGCATGAACAACAACTGGAGGCGACCATAAGATACAATGTCGTGAAAAACAATCTGCAGCAATATCTAGCCGGCTTTGCAACTACAGGCAAGATGGTTCAAAAAGAAGATATCCAGATTTTTTTTGAAAAGCTGAATCAGAAGACTGAGTAAACTTATAAGGAAATTGAAGAACATCAATCATTTTTTATTTTTTACCTTTGCTTCGTTTTATAACAACTTGCTCACAAACTCAAAGATTTTGGCAGACAGAGGCGGTTGCACCTCGAGCGCATCACCAGGCTTAGCCGCCTCCATCCTGGCAGCCAAACGTGCACCTTGTTCGACAGCACGCTTTGCATCCACCTCTTCAGCCTCATCGGCACTACCGATTCGATATACAGTGACATACTTCTCTTGTAGTGGCTTCTCCAATTCTCGAAGTGGAACTTGGCCAGCACAAACGATTACATTGTCCACATCCAGTATTTATTTCTTGCCACTCTTGTCCGTGTAGTGGAGCCCTGCGTCATCTGCGTTGTCGTACGATACGCCACTTAACAATTCAACGTTGCGGTGTTTAAGTGAAAGTCAATGGATCTAGCTCGTTGCCTTTCCAAGATCATTTCCGTGTTTCATGCTCTTCCGCTGCATCAAGTAGATCTCGCGCGCTGGTGGTGGCACACTGGACTTGAAACTAGCCACATCACCACGTACAATGTTGATCGTATCAATCCCCCACTCACGAGCAAACACTTACTTCGACGCTCGAGCTTGTCGACTCGCAAGCGACGTGAGAAATTCGGCGACGTCGAATCTGATGCCATCAGCACCAATAATTGCCACCTTTTGCCCAATTCTGATTTTTTTCAAATCGTGGATGTATAGGATGATCTCCACCTGGGATTTTAAGGGGCCGAGGCAGTACACCAGAATCCATAACCACCTTGTAAGAGCCTCCCGTAGTCAGATCTGCAGCTTCAACACGACGTCCAATTTTGACATTGACACCATTGGACTTCAATTGCTTTTGAGAGTACCAACGCGTCTCATGAAGTTCTCCCTCTCTTGGGATGATCTTAGCCATGTTAGACTGCCCGCCAATGTAATCAGCCTCCTAAAAAACGTCACTTTATGACCACGCAAAGCCGCGATCGCTAAAAATGACAACCCAGAAGGTCCATCACCAACAACCGCTACACGCTGAACATCTTTAAAAGCAAAACGCATGAGAATTAGTCAAGAATATCTGCTTCAATCGCTTTAATTTACCAGTAGTTGGAAATCAGCTCAGAGAAGTTTCGTAGCCCGACCGCGGATTTACTGTACAACTCGCTGTAATTCCCTTAAATTTGTGATCTAGACACGCTTGATTGCATTCGATGCACATATTGAGCTCGTCTACTCGGCCTTCTTCTGTCTTTTGTAAAAAGTCTGGATCTGCTAAGAATAGTCGTGCCATCGACACCAACTCAATTACCCACAAAGGATCCACATGCGCAGAGACAGCATCAGGCGCGGGGGCTAATTTTTGCCAAGCATTCTTTCGTTTTAGACATCGGATACCATGCGTGCAGGTGGACGAAGCGACGGCGGGCGTAAGCGGTTGCGCTTGCAGAAGTGTTGCTGAACGAAGTATGGCTTATCAATCAACTTGGAGTAAATTTCTTCGCAAAGGTCTGGCTCAAACAAGGCAGGTCGGCATGGAATCGTATTGAAATATACTGTGCGAGCTTTTGGTGAGAGCATGCCGTAATCATGAGTCGCTGTGATAAGCACAGGTCGAGCGTTGCGATTAGCTAACCAGTTGTATAATGTCGACGATCGAATACTTCCCTTATGCTTACTAACATAACGCAAATCATGAGCTTGAAACGCCCCAAACATCGAAGTGGCTCGTCTGACGTGCAAACAAAGCCAATATCTTGATTACGGATGCGGACAAATTTCAGCACGCAAAACAGTCGCAAATTTTACGCCATAGTTCCGGTTGATAAGATACACATAGCTCGTCCATGTAACATTCAGCTGTTAAACGTACAACAGGGTTCCTGTAACGGGGTTACACGAACACGGGTGTGTGCGTGTCACACGAGATGGGCATAATGTGACCACACCCCCAACAAGAATACGGGACGAGGCTAGGTAGCCAGTACTTATGGATGTATTTTGATTTTACTATAAATATTTGGTATATTTAGGATAATCTAAACTTTTAACATTAGGATAAGAATATAAATAAAAATCAGTTTCGATTTTCAACAAGAGTGTTCGTTTGCCTTGGTAAGACTATCAAGTACTTTGAGAGGCAGCGGATTGCGATCCGCTGCACTAGTACTTGGTTCTTGTATAAAAAGAAAGGTCGGTGACCTAAAGACGCTTCCTGAAGCGCAAAGCTACGACAGCCCTGCTGCACTTGGTAGCACTTATAGTCAATCTACACCTGCGTCGTTTCGACTGATCCTCTTTGAGAATGAAACAATTTTCCTCTTTGCCCCAGGGCATGCGGGATAGGCTTAATCAGCTGATGTCCTTGCTTGGCCCTGAGGGCGTGCAACACCTTGTTGCACAAGGCCCCGAGGCAATCGGTGCGCGTCTAGAGGCGTTTTCGAGTTACGAAAACGCGCTGCTAGAGTACTTGTAGCAGAAGATGTCTGCATTGTTTGCGTCTATGACGCCACCGTCGGTGACGGATAGATTCCCCCGACCTAAGCCGCTCATGGTAAACGTTAAGGTCTTTGGAGGGATGGAGAGAAACTCCTACTCTGGGTGAGAGAGGTCGAGATGGCCATCGCATCCGCCATGCTCCAGACCG